CCCAAACCCCAAACCCCAAACCTGAGCTATATCAAGCTGAAAATATTGTCATGGGAATGATACAAACCGAGTCTCCCTACTTCCAGCCATTGCCTGCTGCACCCTTGCCATTTACGCCTGGTCTATTCCCCGGAGACCCTGATTTCACAAACTGCACCTCATCCTCCAAGACTTGTGGCTTCTCATGGAGTATGCGGATTTTGGACTCTTCAACCGTTTATCTCCTTGGCGCAGGTAAGTTGATGGCGAGAACACTTGGCCATTACTTCAGGCTAACGATTCAACAGGATTCTACAGTTGGTTCTCGGACTATTCGCAGAAATGTGTCGATGAAGACCTTTGCCAAGACCGTGGGTTCCAAATCGAGGAGAGCTATGATACATGGATCTACAATTTGGTCACCAAGGCAATTTCCGAGATGGTGAGCCCGACGGGTGAAACCCCAACTTATGCTAAGGACAACAAGAATGGATTTTTATCCTCTTTACTTGCTTGGATCCGAGGCTCGAAGGTGGTGATTGGTGGTCGCGACCTCCCAGGCTTTTATGTCTGGGACGCTAATACTGACGCGGATTTGATGACTGGCCTGCCTGATTCCTGCAAAACCTCACTCACCCAATTAGTCGGATGTGATTCGTACGCGCGGCTGTTTTTGGCTGAGAGTTATCGGGGATCATTGGGTAATGACACTCTCACAGAATCAGTCTGTGATGAAAGTTGCGGCGTCTCATTGAAGCGCTGGTTTGATAATGTTGCTTCTGACTGCAAGGGATACAATGTTTCTGATTCCGCTGCCACCAAATATGGTGGACAGATCTGGTCTGGCTGGAACGAAACCTGTCTCAAAGATACCAGAACGGGAGAATACTGCAATGGTAAGGGTATCTCGTGCTCGTTTTCTAAGTCGCTAGTGCTAATGATGGCAGATTTGATATCCGAATATCCAGCCGTTGACTTCCTAGATGACATGCCGGAATCGGAAATCTGCTCATTCTGCTTTGTCGAGAGGCTGGGAATTATGCAGCGGTCGTCATACTCCTTCTATGATGAAGGGTTCCAGGATCAGTTGGGTACCGTCAATGCTAAATGTGGACTGTCTGTTCCGACAGCCAAGCCCCCATCGCTAGATGCACCCCCTGAGTTTCTACCTGACCCAATCTGCATCTCGAATCAAACGTATCAGACAGTCTCCGGTGACACATGTGACTCTATCGCTTTGAGATACAATGTTTCATCTGCTTCCCTGGTCATGGCGAACAATCGCCAGCTCATGGTCTGCAACGACTTGACTGCAGAGATGGATCTTTGCATACCAAGCAGCTGTGCATCCACATACACCCTCAAGAGCAACGACACCTGTACATCCATCGAATCGTCGGGCCTTCGCCAGCGTGGTGATGTGAGGAAATACAACTCATGGGTTGAATGGGACTGCTCCAATCTTCAAACATCAACTGACTTCTGGGGCCACATAATTTGCCTCGGCGTTCAAGGAGGTACATACACTGCTACTGCCTCGATTCCGGGAGTTACTCTAGCCCCCGAAGAGAGCACAGGATATTCAAATTCACGCGTCGCGCCCCCGGCCAATGCTACTGCCGCTGAAGGTACAACCTTGAAGTGTGGCAAGTGGCGCGTTGCTGTGAAGGGAGAGACTTGTGCACAGATCTGCCTGCAAGAATCAATCACCTCAAGTCTATTTGTCGGAGTGAACCCGTCTCTCGCAAGTTCGAATTGTTCCGACGGTTTAATCGTTGGAAATGCATACTGTGTCGGCCCTAATCCGGGATGGTCGTTCTCTAATTCGACTACTTCCTTAAGCACCCAAGGAAGGACTCCAGGGAGCAGCTCAATGCCAGTTTCCGCAGCTATTCTTTGAGATCTACTCCCGCGTTCAGACTTTTTCTGAGTAATAGCTCGTGACAAATCCATCGATAATCCTAGGTAGACCTCCCTACTATAGAGACTAGATGTGATTTTCAGGCATGATTGTGCCCAAGTAGCCTTCGGGGAAACTGATAGTCATTTGGTATTCGAGGATATGCCACTGCCTCCAAACAAAGATATATGAGACCCAGATACAGCTGCAATTTGAATGTTCAAAATATATAATGATACTTCTAAGTAAGTGCACACTTGGAGGTGGAATCGGAACAGCGGCATCGACGGTCTCGATGATTTTCGTTATGTAGATAAAAGACAAAAAGGCTACCCTCTCCCACACCCTTGCTGCGCTGATCGCACCGGGCGTCTCCGACCAAAGTTTTTAGGAATGAAATTTCCATCTTGATCCTGCGCTGTCCCATCGCCCTCATCATAGACAGGAATCCAGCCATCCGGCACCTTCGGACATAGCTGTTCCATTTGATCGAATTGAAGATTCAAGTAAAGAGGCCACAGTGCGCACACTAGCGACCTCATAAACCCACGGTATAAAGGCGAATCATACCTCTTTGCGGTATCATACCGTCCATCAACTACCCCAACGAAACCCCCGTGAGGGTCGTCTGTCTTAACAAGAGAGTTAAGTGATCGCTCATCAATCATCAGACAGACAGCAAAGCGAGAATCATCACAATGTTCCTCCTGCTTAATTTTGCGCAGATACTGGGCAAAATGAGCACGTACTTGCTCAATACTAGCACCGTCCCAACGCCCTGGGTCAGAGATGATGACATCCTTATGAGACTCTTCTATCAACTGCTCGGGGCGGGGATCATTCCCATAGCGTGTCTCATGGTGTAATTCACCCTTCATCCATTCGTGCATCACGCGGATCAGCTTTTCCTTGGCGATTGGCCATAATTCCTCAGACTCAGGTGTGTAGACTGTTCGATAGATAATATACCCCCATGGAAAATGATATGGAAATTGTTTAGTCAGGAATCGATGGGTGATGCGATCAGTCGTGCTTCTGTACCACGGCTCTTTCTCCCAATTTTCGGAGGCCTCTTTAGTGAAATCGGGATGATGCCAGCGTTTTGGCCAGACCGGGTGATGATAGTGTTTGTCACTATCCAGTTCCTCGACCTGGTCGTTTGGATCATTGAACGGGGCAGATTCGGATGAGGAGGGCGGGGAATTCATCTGTGGAAAGTGATACACCACATAAGCAAAAAGAAGGAGAAGAAACAGGTAGTAAATTATAGAGAGTACCATTTCGATAGGAACAGGACCATGAGATGCTCAGGCGCGGGTGTTGGAGAGAAAAGTTGAATGCCTCAAGAAAACAAGAAGAGAAGAAGCTAAGAAACCTACAGGGCTGTGAGAGGGTTTAAATAGTTCAGGCCTACTTCCCATCGGCCAATCATATCCAGACTTCGTTTAGCGCGGATCCATCCTTGGAACGACGACTCTTGGCATCTGTTTGATGGGTTTGCATGCTTCCATAGCCCCGTGCAGTAAATAGCCCTCAAATCCAGTCTTCATCATAGTGCTCCTCAACTTGCATCATTCCTGCGTGAAATACCAGTCAATTTTCGTATCCTCGCTCGAACTAGACTGCCTACCACCCTATCCCATGGGGTTCATTGATCTGAGCCCCCAAGTCATAAAAAGATCCCAAATTGGCCAATTAGATTGGAAAGGTATACGGTATGCAGGTGTAAGGCCTGTCAACCAGGTAAGATACAATGGTCCAATGAGGGAGAGATCTGGAACGATATGTATTTGTCTTCTAGGTGCAAGACTAATTCTTGTCAGATCTGTCCTGGGGTCTGAGGACCCTTAGTTATTTATGACGGAACTATGGTGGGGTAAGGAAACGATCCGACTGCGGGACGATGCCGCAAACGGCTCGGACCACCAGTCTTTCACCGACATGTGGAATGGTATCACTGCTGACATGTCGTTCCAGTATTGTCAGGGGTATTATCCATGACAGACGCTCACTTATCCTCTAAGTGCAAGAATAGTACAAAATCCTGGTCAGATTATACTTTTTCTTGGTAAATCCTATGCACTCTACTCTATAGTGTAGCCATTATTTTCCATGACTTTTATTACCAGGTCGTTGCCGTTGAATCTTGTTATCTTGCTTCTTGGAGTAGTTGAACCCCCGGATTGGGAGTTGAACCCCCGGATTGGGCCGGGGAAAACCTCGGGCCGAGATCTGGACTTATAGACTGGAACATGCACAAAAAACAGACATTAATCAGCAGGGTTATGAATGCCAATATTGTAGTTGTGTGCATAGAAATGGGCTTGTTTGGGCTTTGCTGAAGTCTAGTGACCATCACTCAACTTCACCGCCTGGCCATATACCACAATACACACATCAACACCCTCGTCCATAATATCGTCAGCGCTCATCAACGACCATCAACGCCTGGCCAACACATCCACTCCGCACCAAAAGACTCACCATTTTGTTCGCTCCACCCCCTGATGGCAGATACATTCTACTGCGGCGGGAAGACTAGCCGACCGCAAACCATGAAGACAGGAGGGTTGGGAATACGGCACTCGATAACGAAGGTTGGATCTTGAATTTACGATTCTGGTGATTGATTTGCATCTATCTAGGGCTGATTTCATTCCTCCAATGATGATCCTTCGAAATACGAAATAGATCATAAAGATGTTGCGCAGATCTTTGCTTCTTCGAGTACTGTTGAATACTCGAATACTGGTCCCTAGCACCGCGAAGAGGTGCCTGCACATCGCTAGAGGCCTTGTTAACGCAGCAATCCCCTGCGGAGTTCCTTGTTCTCGCAGCGCTCTCCTGCGGATGTCCTTGGTTGCGCAGCGCTCCCCTGCGAAGATTCTTGTTTTCGTAGCGCTCTCCTGCGGAATTCCTTGTTGACGCAGCACCTCCCTGCGAGGATTGTTGTTGACGCAGACCTATCCTGCGAAGCACCTTCTTACATCGCTGGGCTCGTGGCAGCGACAGCCGTGGCCATGGAGACTCTCAAGCCCGCAGGCAAGAGGGACACCATGACACATCGGAGTGTGAGGACCGAAGTCCTGATTTTTTTTGGCTGGGAATCCGGCTCCTTATATAATTTTTCGGCTACGTTTCTACCAAGGAACCAGTTGCGCAGATGGTAGCGAGAACCACTGTCTCGTTGATGGGCGTTGAAGCGAGTTAAACGACGTTGCAATGGTCTTTGGAGACTTTGTGGCCTACAGAGTCAAGTTTCAACCTGGATTCATTCCTTTCAACAACCTGCGTTAAGTGTGGCTAACCACTTCATCAACTGTTGAAAAGACAGTGATACCGCAAGAAAATACATTGCAATTAAATTGCCCAACGCGGTGGCACTCTACATCTGCCCGTTCTAGCCACGTCGCTCGTCTCTTTCATGGGGGTTGAAGTGCTTCAACAGACCCCGCAACAATGGGTTGGAGACTGTGGCAGACAGGGACATCCGATTGTACCGGCTGTTGGCCATAGGACGTGCCTCCCATTGATCCCACTAGAATCAGGTTTGTCTATCTCCTAGCCCCGCGCTGCTTTACCGGTACTTTTTTTCTGTTGCTCTTAGCCAACTGATGTTGCCTTTACTAGAGTTTTTGCTACCTAGCGCCTTAGGCATTATGAACATCCTTATATATCCAGGATGTTAGTTGTATTCTTTGACGGAGAATACAAAAGTCTAGACCCTGTTAGAAAGCCTAGAATAGAAACCCGAGTCCAGTTTTCCAAGACAATGAAATGAGTTATTTCAGCTACCATGGCCACGAGCTAGGTCCTCGTGATCGCCATCCACATCGTGAGATTGCAACACTACTGTCCCATTGATGAAACCCTGGACACATGAAGCACCGGTTGTATCAATCAAATACCAGGCGCGAATTTAGATAGATACAGATCCCAGGAACGACCCATGGGACAGTAGATCAAGGATATTCTATTTGTGGCCCAGAGAAGAATTTGGAAGGACTTACAAGGGTCTAGACACAATCCACAAATCTAGTCTTGACGGGCCGTCAGAGTACAGATAGAACAGGCCTTTGGTACTTAGGGGTCGGTCGGGGCAGATAACGTATTTGGAATATCGTATAGACTTTTAGCAATAGAGATACAATCCGCCGAAATTTCGCAGAAGGGGTAAGACTTCTCCCCATTCCCTTCTCTTAATCAATTCGTTATCTTATTCCAATTCTAGGGGAACTTTAGACAGTTCTTAGCGTAAATCCTTAGGTCATTCACCGGAACCCCGACCTACTCAGTGAGAATTGCGACAGCTTCAACCCAGACCGCTGGCTCCAGAAAGAATCGGGACGAATAGATGCCTTTTTAATCCATATATGTATATACCCCCTCCGACTACTAGTTTGTAAAGTTAACTAATGACCATTTCACTGTTATAGTGGGGGGCTGGATACAACGCATATCCTAGGCGCAATTTCGCGCAATTTGAAATATCCAAGCTTACTACCACTTTTTTCTAAGACTATGACATTAAGCAAGCGGATCCTAAGGAAGAGTAGATATAGCACAATCGTTTTATTTACATACCGAGTCGTTGGTGGAGACGATGCACCAGGTTACCCATCGAAGCTTCCCCAACCTACTCGAGCATTATCGTCATAGAGGTCAGGATTTCCTGGTGTGGGAAGCGGTTAAGTTATCCATAGGCCAGGTACTAAGGTCGCGATACTCCATCGACGAAGGAGCCCTCGCCGCAATTGTTTGGCCGGTAGGTATAGGGCGTACAGGCGGTCTCCCTCCTCTTTCTAAAGGAAAGGGTCGCTACCATTAAGAAACTAACGGCTAATAATTGGTAGGTCCTAAAATAAATAAAGCATCTCCGTAGATAGGGCAGAGTACTGGCTACCTTAAGCGCCGACACAATTTTTCTCACAGAGTCCAGTATCGTCAAAATTGGTAAGTAAGGGGCAGTCTAGTTTACAAACACCTTCGGGTAGTGATACTAACGAGGAATATATAGCGGGGGTGGAGCACAGTTACCAAATCGACGCGACTGAGATAGACGCTGTAACCCTGAAGCTGATAGCCCTGGCTGACATGGTCCAAAACTTGATAACAAGAAGCTCTCCAGGAACAAAATGGAGCCCTAAGGCCCAGAGTCTCCCCAAGGATCTGAACCGACTGTCGGTTAATAAGCTACTACGAGTAAGTATAATCCCACCTGTCTATCATACAAGACTGCGGCTAACCAGGCAGAGTAAATTCTTTGAGCAATTAGGGTCTAGGGAGGAATTAAAAATACTAGTAAACGTGGTAAACAAAGATACATGCCACAAAATTGATTTTCTCGGTTACACATAAGAAGCGCATAATATTCACGCGTATATATCCGTGCGGAAATCCCATCGTGTGGATGTTCTTTGCCGTAAATCTAACTGTAATAGGATTATCTGCGTAGAGACCTCTGGAATACTTTCTAAGGTCACTCAAATTAGTCACTGGAGTAAATTCCCTACAAGGTTTCTTTCTACTTGATTTTTTGGGGTTATAGGGTATTGGTTAGGTCACTCCCCACGGCTTAGCATTAGTAGGCGAAACCCTTCTCTTAATCCGAGTATATATATATATATCTCTATAATAGTCTCCCTTTACTTTTCTGTTCAAGAAACCAAACACACACTTGCCGTTTCTAACACAGTTTATTCGCGGCTGATCCTTCTCAGAAGACTTCTATCTCATCAGTAGTAGCCTATCAACGCGTAAAAGCACATAATGGTCGTGATACAGCCGTGTTTTCACTACAAACAATATAAGATTTCCTATTATAGGGGTTCAACTTGGGATCCACCCACTCCTGCTTATCGAGGTTACGATAAGATAAGTAGGCTCAATCAGATAAGTGGGAATTCCTACAGATACTCGCATCTGATATGCTTACAGGACATAAAAAACAAAACAATATATCAGCAAGTCAGCCTACCAGAACCTCTCCCCAAGGTTTACAGTGCCACTTCGCGAGATATCTCCTGATATCAAGTCCAATCGCGTTCTTCCGCCGGCGAGCTACTATTCTAGTTCCCATAGCTTTATAAAGCCTTCATCGCCTCGGTGACTCCCGCTCTGACACACGTCAATTCAGTCTCTAGCCGACTAGTTCGGAGCGAGCTAGCTTCAAGCTCAGTCCAAAGCCGACGAGACTTTTCCTAGAACC